TGTATTTTCGCTGATCACACGCCGATTTTTTCCACCGATGAAGTTAGATAATGTTTTCTTAAAAGTACTAATGTCCGATGTGAATCCACTGAAGTTAAATGGTTTGTAATGTTCGAAATATATAAACGTTCCTGGTCAATATATCTAAAGTTCCCGATTAATAAGCGTTATAAGAATCACAGTTATATCTTTCGAGGTTTATAGTATACCAACTATAGCAAACCAATAATAGATACTGTTTTTAGGCGTGTTGTCTTAATTATATTTATAGGCGTGTAGAGAGTTTCTCGAAATTTCAGGTTACGCAACAATACAAACGCTACGCTAGCGTTTACGTACACATGTATATTGTTGATTCTTACACTTGAGAATCTTCTACAACTTCAGAGAATAGATGGGCATTTCGCAATACAGACTTAGCAGTATAAGTTATGTACATTTCTAAATATAAATTTAATTTAAGCAAACATTGATATTAAAATATATATGTAATAGTGAATCTGTCACACCTCCCTCCTTAAAGAATTTAAAATTGGCATTAGACAATTTTTAACAAAGATATTATATATACATTGACAACAATATATATATAATGCATTATTCAAATAATTATAAAACTTCAATAATCATGACAGTATATAACACAATCAATACAAATAACCTTATGATCATAAAATTACATAGCACGTGAAAGTGAATCACCACAAATGTTATCAACCCTTTTGACGTGGATTATCTTCAAATCATACTCCTGTAGTGATAAACTCCAATCTAATAGTCTCCTGTTTTCTTTCTTTCTTTTTTTTTTAATTGGATGTCCCATAGTGGGTAACAATACTAATACTATGTTACTCAGATGGAGCTTACGCTCTTCAGCCTTGTGGTCATAAATATTCTTCATTTTAATTTGGCATGACTTCAAATTTTCACGAGCCAATTCACAAGCGCACAAGAATCTGGCCGAAACTTGGAAATGTAATCCAATAAGTGCAATTCTTTCGGGTCGTCCTCCAACCATTTTTCCTTCAGCAACTTCAAAGGACCACGAAGTGAATGGCCAAACACCAATTCAAACGGGCTAAACCATAACAACTCCAAAACCGACTCACGAACAGCAAATAATGATAAATTAACTCCTTCATCCCAATCCTTCTCGTTATCGAGACAATAAGTCTGCATCATATTTTTCACGGAAGAATGGAATTTCTCAAGAGCACCTTGCGATTCTCGATGGAATGCACTAGATTTGATCTGTTTAGCATCGAGCTGATAAACAACTTGTTGAAACAATCCTGACATAAACTTTGATCCCTTATGAGACTGAATTTCTTTGGGCAAGCCAACAAAAGTAAAAAAATTAATCAAAGTCTTAGAAATTTTTTGGGCTGAAATTTTTCTCAAAGGGTTAGCTTCAGGGAATCGAATGGATGCTCACATGATAGTCAACAAATACTGGTTCCCTGATCGAGTTTTTGGTAAAAGCCCAACACAATCCACAATCACATGACTGAATGGTTCTTCGAAAGCTGGGATAGGTTTCAGAGTAGCAACAAGAATTTTCTGGTTAGGTTTTCTGACCAACTAACAGGTATAACAAGTTTTACAAAAGTGAGAAACACCTTACCTAATTTTTGGCCAAAACAAATGTCTCATAATTTTGTCACATGTATTGTTGACACATAAATGACCTCCCATGGGGAGTTCATGGGCTACTTTCAATATTTCAAAATGATATGCTTTGGGAACAAAATACAGCCAAGTATTCTGAAGCTGACACATCTGGTGGTTTTCATTTCCTCATAAGCACACCATTTTTGAAAAAATAACCATTTGGAACTTCTTCCAGTTCATCTTTTGGGAGAGTAAATTTAAATAGTGAAGAGATCTGGAAATCTTTTTCTTGCTCGGCGATCAGTTTACTTTTAGCAAATGGAACTTCATTGGGTGAACTATATATCTCACGTCCATCATTGTTACTCACCGAGTAATCGTCAGTAAGACAATTATCCACAAGATTCTCGTCAGATCCAAAAAATGTCTGAGACCACTCAAAATATCGTCCTTTGAATCCATGTCTATCCTTTGTTTTGGACTTAATTTCTTAGCCTGAGCTCGAGTCACAGCACACGAGGGAAACACATCAGGATTCTCCTCAACGACAACATCATCCTTAGATGAAACAGTGATTGGCTCATTAACCATTTTAGGTTCGACAACAACTTTTCCTCCAGCCAAATCGTTTCCCAACAATAATGATACACCCTTAATTGGCAGAATAGGTCTTACTCCAACCACAACTGGTTCCAAAACTAGGTCTGATGCTAAATAAATGTTATAAAGATGAACATTAACAAAGCCACCCTCAATACCCTGAGCAATAAAAGACTCACCAGTAGCACAACTTGAATCTAAAGGCAATATACCTTTCAACAACAATGATTGAGTCGCCCCAGTATTACGTAGAACATGTATTGATATGTGATTGGCAGTGTCATTTGCCAAAGACACAAATCAACAGACACAAAAGGTCTAAATTCCTCCCTGATTACATCAGCCTTTATATAATACTAAATCCGTCACAATACATAAAACTCTGTAAACTCATGTAAAATACTGTCGCAATACACAAAACGTTTGACTGTAAACCAGCTGAATGCGGGAAAGTATGTGTAAAATAATGTATTGTACTGTTCCTAATACTGGAAATTTTGGAGTGAAAAAGTCATGTGACATATTTTACAAATAAAAGACATTATGGGACGGCACAGTTCTGAAGGCTTCCAACGCTCAAACCTGTTTTCGATTTCCGTGATGGGCACAGCACAATTAACCCACTGTGTAGCTTTGTGCTTAACTGAAACCAAACAAACAAAACGCATTTTGGACTGTAAAATCTTGTGCAGTACTTGCCCCCAAAAAATAAAAAATATATCAACGACAAAAACATTTTGATGGGGTTGCGAATTAAATTAATCTATTTTCAACGTTTTCTACGAAATAATAAAAAGTTATTTTCATCTACTAGGTGACATATTCTACCACTAGATGACAGATTACGCTTATAAAAGACATAATCCTGGAAAAAATAATTATTCAAGCATTGTACAACACTGTCACAAATGATAACTTTGTCATAGATGAGCAACAATTGAGGTTACTTCTCAGACAGTAATCCCGTTCCTCTTTATTTCTATTTGCTAATAGCTTAAAATTAAATTATGAATATTTGCGTATTGCTGATGTAATGTGTCAAACTTTAGACTGTTAAATAATGTGTATTAATGTTGTAATAAGTCAAATTTTAGACTATTAATTGTTCTGTATTAATTTTGTAGTGCACGAAACTTTATAAAGTTAAAATATTGTGTATTATTGTTGTCAGACATAAAACTTTGCACTGTTAATCTTGTGTATTACTGTTGTAATATATATGAAAATTTATACAGTTAAAATATTGTGTTATTATTACCAGACGTGAATCTTTGCTCTGTTAATCTTGTGTATTGCTATTGTAATACACGAAACTTTTACAGTTAAGCATTATTTTGCATTACTATGTATAATTATGTATTACTGTTGTCAGACATATAACTTTACATTGTTAGTCTTGTGTATTACTGTTTTAATACGTGAAACTTTACAACAATTAAATTATTCTGTATTATTGTTGCCAGACATGAAACTTGGTGCTGTTAATCATGTGTATCGCTATTGTAATACGTGGAACTTTAGACTGTTAAATTTTGTGTGTTGCTATTGCATTACATGAAATTTTATACAGTTAAAAATAGGTGTGTTATTGTTGCCTACATAAAACGATACTATTAAAAGTTGATATATTGAAAATTGCTTAAACGTTCTTCAAAAATGTTTTTCAGTATTAATTTAGCAGCAATTACTTTTTGTAGAGATCAAGAGAAATCTTTTTTTCACCAGTCTTGGTTTCTGTATTACTTGGTTTTATATGTTTATTAGATTGTTTTATCTGTCTGTTATTTGTTTTTATCTATGTATTAGTTAATTTTAACTGTTTATTAGTAGGTATTTTCTATGTTTTAGTTGGTTTTAGCTATGTACTAGTATGTTTTAGCTGTATATTGTTAATGTTATCTGTTTATTGTTGATTTTATCTGTTTATTAATTGGTTTTAGCTGTGCAGTGGATAGTTTTATTTGTGTATTAGTTGGTTTTAGCTATGTACTAGTATGTTTTAGATGTATATTGTTAATGTTATCTGTTTATTGTTGATGTTATCTGTTTATTAATTGGTTTTAGCTGTGCAGTGGATAGTTTTATTTGTGTATTAGTTGGTGTTAGGTGCTTATTGTTGGTTTTTCTGTGTATTAGTTGGTATTAGCTGTTTATTGTTTATTTTATCTGTTTGTTGTTGGTTTTAACTGTTTAATGTTAACTTTGTCTATTTATTAGTTGGTTACACATGTTTATTAGTTGTTTTTAGCTATTGATTATTGACTTTGTTAGATATATGTGACTGTTTTAATCCAAGTATAGCACTAGTGTAAAATTTAGTTATTTTTTAGAAGCGATAGTTTATTGCATGTTTGTTTAAGTAACTGTGCAATTCATTCGTTGCACAGTTCAATTGTCGTAACTTGGCAATTATGGTATTATTGCGTCATGTTACTAGAATCTTCTAAGTTTTCTTGACTATTATTACATTATAGTATCTCGTAGCGTGGGGAAAGTTCTAGATCTCAGTTGAGCTATCTATAAATACGCGTTCAAAATGTTCAAGTAAAACGTAATTAAACAAAATGTGTGAAAGATATAATCAGATAGATCTGGACTGTGTGTTTGTAAGTTTACCCGTGGAGAGCGTATAGTGGCGCTTTTTTTAAAGTGAAATTATTACAGATTGTATTGTAGCAACAGAATAGAGAATAATAATTTTTCTTATCAATTGTGTTCGAGGGTAATTGAACAAATCTGTATGAAGTTTTGACGAAAAGAGACAACTATTTAAAGCTCTGGATACAACTGTGGTAACCAATAGTGTAACGTAAGTGAAATTATCACTGACTGTATTGTAAAAACAGAGCAGAGGAGAATAATTCGTCTTGTCAGTTGTGTTCTGACGTAACTGAACCAGCCTATGTAGATTTTGACAAAAAGAGACGATTATTTAAAGCTGTGGATACAAATATGGTGATTAACTGTGTAACGAACATTTGTATATGCGCTTGACTTGTTTAATATATTATTATAAAACAAGTGGACTGTGAGCTGTTTGTTTATTGTTGAAATTTATCACCAACAAGTCACAGACACCTACTGTAAATAATCCTGCCCATCCATATCTATATAAATACATGATAGATTTATCTGTTTATTATTGGTTTTAGCTGTTTATTGTTGCTTTTGGTTTTATCTATTTATTAGTTTGTTTTAGTTGTGTATCAGCTAGTTTTTGATTTTAGTTGTTTATTAGTTGATTTCACATGTTTATTATTTATTTTTAGGTGTTTATTGTGGGTTTTATCTGTGAATTAGTTGGTTTTAGCTTTTTATTAGTTGATCTCAGATGTTTTTACTTATTTTTGGCTTTATTGTGGGTTTTATCTGTGAATTAGTTGGTTTTAGCTTTTTATTAGTTGATCTCAGATGTTTTTACTTATTTTTGGCTTTATAGTAGCTCGTTTTAGCTGTTTATTAGTTGGTTTTATCTATTTAGTATTTTTCGTTTTAGCTGTGTAGTAGTTGTTCGTTTTGGCTGTTTATTAGTTAATTTTAGCTGTGTAGTAGTTGTTCATTTTAGCTGTTTATTAGTTGGTTTTAGCTGTGTAGTAGTAGTTCGTTTTAACTGTTTATTGGTTGGTTTTAGTTGTGTATTAGCTCGTTTTAGCTGTTTATTGGTTGGTCTTTGCTGTGTATTAGTTCGTTTTGTCTGGAGTTATACAGGATAAACTGGTTTTATTTCCAGCCCTGCTGTACGCAACTATATTTGGTCACGTGACTACAATCATCCAACAGATGACATCCGTCACGGCACGTTATCACGACATTCTGAATAACGTGCGTGAGTTTATGAAGCTCCATGAGGTGCCCAAAGCACTTAGTGAGCGGGTGATGGATTACGTCGTATCCACCTGGGCCATGAATAAAGGGATTGATACAAAAATGGTAATAAGCTGTTTCTTTTGTTTTACATATAGTTGTTCTTACATATTCTGAACGTGTAAACTTGGAAGTTTGTTTAGCACCAGCAGGGAAAGAAAAGGTCTTCTATTAATGCAAATAAAAAAAAAGAAATCTGCCAAAACCAACGGTGATCTGTAATTACATCCTTAAGAAAAATGTGGATACAGAATGAGTCGGCTAATTTCAGATCTACCCCTCCCTCGTAAATATGTGTATTGTACAATATATATATGATCAGTTCACTCACCATATAGACGAAGCCGTTCTACTCGGAGGGAAGCTTTTAACAAGTGAAGGTTTTGTTGCTGTTTTGTTTTTTAAATCAGCTTTTCGAACTTTGATCTTAAATTAAGTTGATTTCAGTTTTTAACAGAATACATGGATCACTGTCCTTTATTCTGCAAATCAAAAAACCAGATTTGTTGGAAAATAAATAACTTCAACAAAATATCAGTTCATATTCTTTATTCATCTGAAACATTTCATCGTTAAACATTTCATCATCAACAAACAGCTCATATACTGTCTTCCATTTAGAAATTTCTTATGTAACAGTTCAGCTGTGATTTTAGTCGTACAGGTATCATCACTAGCAGTTCAGCTGTGATCTTAGTCATAAATATATCATCACTAACAGTTCAGCTGTGATTTTAGACGTACAGGTATCATTACTAACAGTTCAATTGTGAACTTAGTAGTAAAGATATCATCACTAACAGTTCAATTGTGAACTTAGTAGTAAAGATATGTCATCATTAACAGTACAACTGTGATCATAGTCGTAAAGATATCATCACTAGCCGTTCAGCTACGATTTTCGTCTTAAATATTTCATCTGTGGTCTTTGTCTTAGAAATTGGTTAATTACTCAAAGATAACTCATTCTCTCTAAGTATAGTCAGTTCTTCTATCTTGAGTCATTTTAATTATCTCTATAACTTTAGTCATTTTAATTATCTCTATAAATTGAATCATTTTAATTATCTCTATAACTTTAGTCATTTTAATTATCTCTATAACTTGAGTCATTTTAATTATCTCTATAACTTGAGTCAATTTAATTATCTTTATAACTTGAGTCATTTTAATTATCTCTATATTTTTCTCTTTGTTTAGACATACAACAAAATCAGAACTAAGAATAAAATATGATCTACTTGTCCGCTAGACTTAATATTTCAACTTCTGCTCTCCAGGTGTTAAGTTACTGCCCGAAGGACATGACAGCTGACATTTGTGTCCACTTAAATAGGAAAGTGTTCAACGAACATCCGGCTTTCCGATTAGCTAGTGATGGATGTCTACGGGCTCTAGCAATGTACTTCAGCATGGACCACAGCGCCCCTGGCGACCTGTTGTATCACACTGGTGAAAGTATCGATACTTTGTGTTTTGTTGTTTCTGGATCACTCGAAGTTATACAAGACGACGAAGTTGTGGCCATTTTAGGTAAGTCTAACACACAAACAGCCATTGTAAGTAGGTGATGCAGAAGGATTATCTTGCTAAGTAATAAATCAGTAGTTTACCTAAGACTTGCTGATATGAATGGTTGAAATCAGGAATTAGTGACCATTTTAAGAAAGGCTTAAAGATTAAGTCATTAAATGGTGATTAGTGAAACCGGAGAAACACGTGCGTATTATAGATAAAAAATTGCATTTCGTTATCTGTCAGTCTGTTTGTTAAAGCTTTAACTAACCTTTCTACGCTGTTTATAAGAAAGGTAAGGAATATCCGGTTCAATAGATTTTATTTACCTCTAATTTTACAGAATGCTTAGTAATGTTAGCTACTTCACGAAGCAGTGGTTATTCAAAGTAAGGTTTAATGATATGTACGGTTTGTTTCAAGACGTAGCAGTTTACAATAACAATAATATATATAGCGCTGTTGAAGAGAAGAAATGGCGGTTATTTTAAGTAACGTTTAATGGTGTGGTTTATTTCATGATGTAGCGGTTATTCTATTTAAGGTACAGTGACGTTGAAGGGAAGAAGTGGCATTTATTCTAAGTAAGTTATAGTGCTGTTTAACGAAAGAAGTGTTAACATTCAAAACAAACAGGAAATAAACCATTTTTCTAATTTCTTAACATGTAGATAAAGCATGTGATGTTAATCTGACAATTTCTCTGTTTTAGACTACAGGGAAGGAGGCTAACCAACTACTCTTCTTAAATATTCGAATTTTACCCTCACTTTTATATCTCATCAATTACCCCAAAGTGCAAAGCGCAATCTTGCGACGACGAAACGTGTACAAGTGGACCCTCAGATTCACGATGCAGCACACTAACAATTACGCCTAGTCATCACCCTCGATTTTGGTCTTCTGACCTGAAGGAAGGGAGCTAGGAAGTATCCATCACCTAGAGTGGCTACTATGAACTGTTTAGTGGGATTCACTGTCACTCTTATAACGTACAAACAGCTAAACATATGAAGTGTGTTTCGTAGCACTAAGTCTCAAACTCGATACCTTCAGCTTTCCCATCCGATACGCTAACCACTAGGCCACGCTTGCTTTGTCAGCTTTGTTAAAATATGGGATTCCTTGCAGACTAATACACTAATCACTAGTCCACGTTCGGTCTGTAGGCTTTGTTGAAATATTGGATCCCAATCCTATGCAGTTGGATACGCTAACCATTAGGCCACATTCGGTCTGTAGGCTTTGTTGAAATATTGGATCCCAATCCCATGCAGTTGGATACGCTAACGATTAGGCCACATTCGGTCTGTAGGCTTTGTTGAAATATTGGATCCCAATCCCATGCAGTTGGATACGCTAACTATTAGGTCACATTCGGTCTGTAGGCTTTGATGCAATATTGGATCCCAATCCCATGCAGTTGGATACGCTAACCATTAGGCCACATTCGGTCTGTAGGCTTTGTTAAAATATTGGATCCCAATCCCATGCAGTTGGATACGCTAACCATTAGGCCACATTCGGTCTGTAGGCTTTGTTGAAATATTGGATCCCAATCCCATGCAGTTGGATACGCTAACCATTAGGCCACATTCGGTCTGTAGGCTTTGATGCAATTTAAAATGAAAATCATCCTGATTAGCTTGATTGAGCCTCATCTGAATTACTTACTTACTTTAAGCTAAAGAGTTCTCAAGATTATTTTGTCATCAATATTACTAAAATAAAAAGATTACAAAATCGATACTTAGTATACAAGATCGAATGCTACTGTAAAAAAAAAAAATGGCTTTAAGATCGGTTGATGCATTGCACTTTGTTCTTGATAAACGTGTAAATTTCAAGTTTTCCGGATGTGTATTTCTTTTTGTTTAAAATCTGAATTTTGTATTTTGTATAACATTCTATTTTTAACTTTGTATTCAGAAGTAACATGTTAGTTAACGTCATTTGTAAATCTTACTCAGTAGCTTTCAAACTCACTTTCATGCTTTCTGAGACACGTAAGATCAGCGACAACATTAGTTTAATGGGCGCCCTAGACAGAAATTAATAAGGGCGCCCCCACACTTGATTACCCGAATATTAGACGCCCTAAGCAGCCATCTATGTTGCCTATCCTTAGTGCAGGAAATTACAAAAAATATCTGAATAGTGTCAATTTTAGAACTTTCTTTTTACAACAAGATGTGGTGAGCGTGTTCTAATGGTTAGCGTGTCGAAAGGTCTGGGGGTTCGAGATGTGATGCTGTTAAACACACATTGTATTTTCAGCTGCAGGTGCATTATCAAAGTGACAGTCAACTCAGACAAAATCTTTGTACTGCTGACTTGCCGAATTCCCTCTGGTCAGTAGTTCAAACTTGGGAGCGGCTATAACAGAATACCTTGCAGGAGTCTCTGACCTAGTCATCTTGACTTACTATGAATAATGTGTTATTCAAGTTGAAAATTGTCTTTCCCCATATACCTTAAACACATGTCCAGTTTATACTTATGATGATTATGTAGTTCACCTGAAAAGGACACTTGACCAACGAATTGCTAGAGGTCTTCGTTCACTGACTGGTAACTCTCTATTGAATTTATTCTTGAAGATAAACTCTTAGCTGACCATATCATTCTAAAGCTCAGAATTCGTGACGTCTGTAACATTTTGAAATGTGGTTACATTTTGATATACAAAAACCATTGTTCATTATAAATTGTATTTATATCTTAACACAATAAACCCTGTTTTTTATAAAAATATGGTTCCATTTTAACACAACAAACCCCGTTTATTATAAAAGTATAGTTACATTCACACAATAAAACCTTGTTTGTTATGAAACTATGATTACATTTTAAAAGGTAATAAAACCTTGTTCGTTATACAATACGGTTAGATTTTAACACAATAAATCCAGTTTGTTATGAAATATGGTTATGTTTTAACACAGAATAAAACATTACAAAATACGGATGGAGTATTCTCCTCCTGTAGATATCGTCTCCTTAGTTTATTACCATCTGTTGATTCTTCACAGTTCCGATTGTAATGTCGTGTTTTCCGCACTTATAACAGGTCCCTTTTTCTGAAATCATTTGGGAGGAGTTTTGTCTCCCACAGACTTTTTTATTTTTAGTGTGCCTTCTTAAGTTATAGTTGAAACTGTTCTGATTAAACATTTGTCTAATTACGCCTTTAATTTCTTGTAAGTGTCCATCAGAGGTAGTCGATGTTGCGATACTACACAATCTGATGATCCAGTAACACTTACTGATGACTCCTTTAGTATTTTATCCATGACTTTATTCAAATTCCACTGTGGACTGAACAACTTCCTTTAAAAGGATATGCACCCAGTCTACTTTAGCCTAATTCACATGTCTCCATCTACTGTGGCATTTATAAATTTAATGTCAAATAATCATGTGTTTATGTGTGTATTAAAAACAAAAAAGTGTGATGAGCAAAAGCGACAAAAGCTTCATTAAATAATAGGCTCTTGCTAATGCATGTGCTCCCCCTCCTATAACTTAGGCTAGCATATAAAAGATTAAAAGAATTGCAGAGAGTGTCCCGAAGTTAAAATGTAACACAAAAATTAACCATCTAATTAACCTTACTAAGTAATAATAATAATCCCTAATTTAAATAAAAACCTAGGTTCCACTGTGGGACAATTTATACACAATTCGCTCAATGAAATATTGCCTCCTAGTGTCTCAGCGAAATATCTGAAAGCTCACATCGCTAAAAGCCAGGTTTTGATAGTCGTGCCAGGCACAGCACAGATAGATCATTGTGTTGCTTATTGCTTAACAACAAACAAACAAAACACACACTGGCAAACTTAAATACTAAACTACATTATAGGCGAAAGCCAAACGGTGCCCTTACAAACGACAGTGAAATTAATTAGTTACTATAGAACTTGAAGGGTTTTAGAGCAACTAAAACTGCACAAAAATACACAAGCTTGTTTTTGTAATCGAAATTGAGTTCTCACATCGAAATAAAAGTTAGTTAAGCACTTCATGAAAATATCGTGAAAGTCTGCTAAAATCCTTGTAAAATCTATGGAAACTTTTATGTAAACTTAAGTGAAAATCTTCTCAGAATCTGGGAATATCCTGCTGACAGTATGTAGAAATTCTGCTCCCTCATACCCCAACATTGTTTCAAATATGACAATACACCTTCGAGTTCCTAACACAATAAAACAGTGATTGGTGCCTAATAACTCAGTTGACCAACGAACTTCGAAGATAATGGGCGAGTTCTCCAACAGATATAACTCGGCGTGCTAATTAAACAGTGCTGTTGTTATTCATGTAAGAGAATCAGACAAGAAAGGACCTAATCTCTACTTGTTCCCATTAGCCCCAGGGAAACTTTCAAGTTACAAACCCTCTTGAACAATGCCATGTTCCAATTTTAGTAATTATAGTGAAAACTAAATTTACCAAACTTAGCTTTAAATTAAAATGAGTGGAAAATATGTATTACAGCTTCGTACTACATCCTGTTCCACATGCCATAGTTAATGGTGTTCGGAGTTGAAATTCTGGAGCAGATGAGATTAAAGATGTGGCTGGTTTGGCCCTTGCATTTACAAGTTACTTTTCCAGATGTATATTCTTTCATTGATGATCTTTTCTACCTCGTTGATTTTACTGTTATATTCTTTTTTTTACTTGTTAAACGTCTTTTTCTACTTTATCAGATTTGTCATTATAATCTTTTCACACTTTTTCAAATTTATTACAGTTCATCTGTACAACTTCAACAACTGTTTCGAACCTGTCTACACTTACATTTATTTTTCATCCTTAATTCTTTAATTTTTATGTTTCGCTCGTGTATTTCCTCTCTCAAATTCCTGTTCTCTTTCTCTAATTTTCTTCTTGATCTCCCTCTCATTTTCTACCTCTCTCTTCTATTTTCCTGACTCCTTCATGATCTTTAAATTTTCTGTCTTTTTCTTCTGTATCTCTTCCTTTAATGCTCTGTCTATTTATGCTTGTTCTTGCTTGCACTGTTGGATCATTTCAAAACATTATCGATTTCTCTTCGAGCACGTGGTCTTGAATTTAAAGTTTAATTTGGTTTGCAAAGAAAGAAAGAAAAGCACAACAGTGTAACTCGGCACAGGAAAACTTATGTTATGGTATGTATGTCAGTCAGATTATTGTTTAGAGACCAATGAAATGATATTAGACAATAAAAAATAAATTTATAAAATATCAAGCTATTGTAAAAAGGTAAATTCTTGAAACAAAAGTTAATAGGAGAGGTTTTGGCCATACTATGGACCCAATTATGCTTTAGAAATACCCATTAACTAACCCTGAGAAAAAAGTATCGATATATTAAGCTTAGACACGTCCATCCTATAGAAAACTGGGTGTAGTGTAGAAACACATAATAAATAAATTTTAAAAATTTCAATAAATATTTGTCAAATTTAAGTCGCGATTTTACAATGCTTCAATAGTGTCGAGGATAAAACCGTAATGAAATAGTTTAAGTTTAGTCTCTAGGCTATTAACATTGCTGCTAAACACGATCATTTATTATAGATAATTTAAATGATTAAATGAGACCAGATACACGTGTTTCAGAAGTAGAAGCTAGGTTATATTTACTAATGTTAAACATTTCATCAGAACAGCAACAAATTCTTTATAAATAATACTTTTACAGACCTCAGCACTAGAGATAACTGAGTGCCTAGAAATGTACAAACAATGTAAGTACCAACTAAATATGTTTTTTCTGTCCACAGGCATTTTCCAATTTCCAAAATAATAATCCTTCTAGTAAGATGAATGAATCCCACTGTGCTCGGTACATCTTTATCTTTGGGATGTATGGAGCAACTGTTTATCTTGAGGGTCTTTCTGCACTATTCTTCAGTTACTGAATAATTGTTTTCAGATTTCTATCTTTTGCTTTTGCAACTTCAACTTGAGAGTTGAATCACATCAGTTCTTTATCGTTCTTGTAGATTCCACATAATGGAATATGCTTGCTATACTTTAGATTGGTCGTCTTAACTATCTTGTATGTCCCTCTTTTCACAATAGTCTTTTTGGGGATACTGCTTTAGCGTAAACTTAGTAGCTGTCTTGCTGAGTTTTACAATTCCTCGTTTTTGTGGTATTTTTGTCATGCTATAACAGGTAATTATGTGTTTTTCCGTGTTTTATTTGTGACAGAAGTGCTTCCACTGCAAAATCAATAGCATCTGTATCTAAAATGAATGGATCTCCCAGATTTGGAGCAGTGATTAGTTTTTTCTTTGGTTTGTTGAATTCTTTTTCACAATCAGCATTCCCCAAAAAATATTTTTAAGTAATTTATGTGAAAGATGATTTTTCAGATTAAATTTTGATGATATAGCAAGCCCAAGAAATCCTCTTACCTCACAAAAATGCTTTGACATTAGCCAATTATGACCAGAGTCAGTCTTTGATTGATATGTATTTAATCCCTCTCTGCAAACTATGTGTCCCAGGAAACTACGTGTTGGTGGAACAGTTCAGCTTTCTTGGGTTTCAGCTTAAGGTTCTCTTTCCTCAACCAATCCAGAACTTTCCTTAGCCCATCATAAGCGTTGCCAAAGGTATTTTGCTGTATGATTATGTCACTCCTGTAAACTAATACAGCAAGAGCATTACATAATATAAATTGTTACACAACAAATTGCCATAACTCATTTCCTGCAGTAAATGCTGTCCTTTCTTTATTGTTTGTCGACTTGCACTTGCCAATATCTACTCTTATGTTCAAATGTTGAAAACCATTTTTGATCCATATAGAGCATCCAAAGTAGAGTCAAAAAGGATAGACATTCTTCTTTGTAACTTCGTTTACCTTCCCTGTGTAAAGTGACTCTTAATTAGAGTTTATTATTATAAAATTATTATAGTAACTGATGTTTTTTGTTATAAACACTGAATTGTTATCAAAACTTTAATCACTTGGTTTATAATTTATGGACTAACTATGTAGTATTGCAAAATATATTTGTTCATTCTAGACATGACTTTTCTCCATGAGTTCTAATCTCATTCAAACATGTTATGTTAAATAATGTTTTTAACAATTTATTATATTCATGTCCCTGAAAATCTTTAAAAACTTGGTTGATAATTAAAAGAGTATGGTTTAATTAGGATATCGGCCTTTTAGGACATATGAATGGTAAGGAAATTTAATTACTGATGAATTAGCGTTAAACATTCTTTTTCATGATGATTAAGTCAACTAATGAATTAGTGTTAAGTGTCCTTTTTAGTACGAATTAATTATAATTGATTCAATGAACTAATTACAAGTATTTTAATTAAATAGTGTTAAGCATCCTTTTTAAGACGAATTAATTAACTAATGAATTAGCCTTAAGTGGCCTTTTTATGATGATTCAATTGGAACATTTGGAACTATGACGTCTTCTTCTTCTTGATTACGTCACCCCTCTCTCCCCCTTCCCTGAGGCAGCCAATCAGCGCATGTATCCAGAGTGCCTCCCTTACTACTGATGTGGCTGAAATTTTTATGATGGTATGGCTTGGAAGCTTTGCCAACCTCCAAATTATTGTTCTTGTTTTTTTATCTTATCAACAGTATCAGGGGATGCACCTAACATCATCACAGTGGATCTTTGGGTCAAAGGATTCTCTTTCGTAAGCATAGACTATGATTGAATCAGTTGATGGTTTCCTAGCTGCTTCATACTGTCGTTTTAGTTGCAGTTTCATTAAATCAAACACTTTTCAATGTGCTTCACACACAGTTTATAGTGCTACGGCATTAAATTTTGTGGTTCGATTCCCCACGGTAAACAGAGCACAGATAGCCCACTGTGTAGCTATACACTAAGATAAAAGAAAATATAAGCAAAGTTAGTCGGCAGTTTGATTCAATCAGATGTTGTACTACCTGGTTCGTTTTCTTAATTCTAAAAACTTAGAGTGAAAGTAATGAAAAATGTATAATAGTATATTATTACCAAATTATTTCTACTATATTCAATGCCAATGAGGCCTTTTATTCAACAAATGGGAGCATAAGACTGGCTGAGATATGACAGATGTAGTCATGGTTCAGACGCTACTTATGTTTTCTAATTGTATGAACAATAGCTGTTATGGTGTAAACTAAATTAAGTTGGTGAAGGGTAATTGTTATAGACTTCATATGAGTCATTTGCAAATCAGAATCAAGTTAAGGATTCTTCTTTCTTTATTTATTCCTGTAAACTCCCAGTGGAGCATAGGGCTGTAACAACACCTCACCAACGGAAAGTTGTTGTTGCAGCTACTTGTAGCAGGTTGGTTTTTACGGGGTAGAGTTGCTAGTCCCGCGCCCATCCTTTCTCATCCTGGACTTGGGACCAGGCAAAGGCGGAAGTTGGCATGTTTGGTGTGGCTCTCAGATTACGAGTCGAGCGCCCTGGCCATGCCGGGCCTAAGTTAAGGATTACTAACACACAATTATTTATTTATTTTAACGCCAGTTATTTAATTTTACTCAAATTACCCTTACTTATCATTCAGAACTGGCGAATCAGCAAGCCGGTAAAGCAACTACAACGTCAACAAGAGAAGACTATATAAGTAACTAGCAGGAGAACCCGTCCCCTGGATGGAAGTTATGTACATTAATGATTAATGTTTTGTTGTTTGTTGTTTTTTTTTTATTTCGCGCATAGCTACTCGAGGGCTATCTGCGCTAGCCGTCCCTAATTTAGCAGTGTAAGACTAGAGGGAAGGCAGCCAGTCATCACCACCCACCGTCAACTCTTGGGCTACTTTTATACCAACGAATAGTGGGATTGACTCTCACATAATAAAAGCACTAGCTGTTTGATTCAGTTGTGGTTTCATTTTGTTTATTAGTAGAGTTTCTTTGACCAGTTTTAGTTTTCATTTGTCAGCATGATTTTCCAGTATTGTAGGTTTATCTTTTGTTTATATTATCTGATAAACACTGAGAACAATAAGTTTTAATATCGCCAAGAGAAAGAGTCATCTATGATATAAATAACGTTTTCCCGGTATCTAATTCTGGTCGAACGTGACAAGTATTCTTAATGCAACTTTCAGTGTAGTTATTAATGATTAATATTTGTCTTTTTTGTCGTTTCATCGACCTCGTTTGTTGTAACGAGCCATTAATAAATTAAAAAATTCTATCAAGAAGAATCTTACTTGCACGTAAGGAAGGGCACGTCTATTCTTCACATGGCGGGATAACCAAAGGAAATTGACCTGTCACGTTGATAACTGAAACTCAAGCAAGCATGACAACACAGGGTGCGATTGGTTACTCAATAAGAGGCTAATGGAGAATTTGGTAATAATTAGATATTTTATGTAATAGTTACACACAATTGAATCTGAGATTCACGTTAAACCAGAATAAGTATATGAAGCACGGTAATTTATTAATGTAAAAAAACTAAACTAAATATGTTTACAACCCTTTCTGCTTTAAAAAGAAAAGAAAAAAATATTCAACTTAAATAGCTTGTTTTGCTTCTTCTTGTATTACACATACAATTTCTTATTAAAATGTTTTCGAATACAAATAAAACTGACGGATAACATATAAATAAAACACTTAAAGTGACTCAGTAGTACGATAAATGCAATATTTTATCGTTAGATGTTAGCCCGAGAGCACTTTTATGAGAAATTATGTTTGTTTATGAGTATTCTTTTTTCCCTCTTGTAGACTTGGCGTAACTTGTTTTCTTATGGTACATAAGACCAATAACAGTAAATAAGTCGAACTATCCTAAATGAGTTCACTGAGTTTATCTGACTTTAACATGCTAATATAGTATATAATCGATACTTTGTAGGTTGCATTCTCCCCTATCTACTGCCAGAGATAATAATAGCTGCGTAGCTTTAGAGTAACATAAATTACATGATTGTGAATTAATCATTTACACATCTCTAACTTGAAATCCGTAAAGGTCCAATGTAAAAGAACGTGAGAATACACAAAACAAAAACAAACAGCAGTCTAGCGTGATTTTTCCTACTAATATTAGGCCTGTAGGTTTAGAACTTGATCAACTGCTGTTGTTGTAACAAATAAAACATCCAGTGAAAACTAAGCCAACCATTTACCAAAAGTTAAAAGTCCATAGACGTCCTGTTGAGTTCATTCATCACCACTGTTCTATCAAAGTCCATATTCAATTTGACATATCTGTTAGTATACTAACCAGAAAAATGAGCCAGTAAAAAAGCAAAGGTATCAAACTATTAACTTATCTCGAGAAATTAAACAAAACAACTATCAACCCAAAATGAAGATATATTCCATATTTCTCAATCTAGTTAAAATATTCTAGAAACTATATAATGATTAAAAAGTGATAAAAAACGATAAATGTTTTATAATGAATTAGTGTTCTTTCATAACTAAGGCCAATATTAAACATAGGTTATTTATAGGCTGGGTGTAGCCTAAAGAATAGCATGCCCAGTATGTGAATCATAGCGTTCATGGTTCAAGTCCTGCTGCTACAAAGTATAAGAGCCAAATCCCACTATTCTTCAGATAAGAGTAGTCCAGGAGTTGCAGTTGAATAGGTAGGTGCATATTGGTTAAAGCTAGAGAGGCTACGCATATATAATCTTTGTGCAGCTTTGATTGGAGACTAAATGAACAAACATATATATAAACTTGTTAATGAGAACATTTATTCTATGTGTGTGTGTGTGTGTGTTTTAAAAACTGCAGAACTTTTTTTAAAAGAGTAACGTTACAGTGACGTTTTCTTTTACTAACTGATTTTTGGAGGTATTTAGGTTGCTTTCGTAAACTTTACTATATCCAAATATATTTACTACATTAAAGCAGCCAGCAAACAGTTGCTGTTTATGCAGTTTGGTAATACTGTCTCAATTATTACTGTGTCTATCCTATCCTAGTCTGTCTAATCATCCCTGGTATAGGGGAAAAGGCTTCATCGGCATTGGATATGACAGATATAGCATTATTGACATATGGTTATATGCCCTTCTTTGCTTCCACTCTTAAGTTCTGGGAATCTATATGAATATAATAGTACTGTCTGTTGTCTGTCCATCTAGCTACCGTGCACCGTGTGGATGGATCTTCACCAAAATTGGTATGGAGGTTCACAAGGTCCATGCGGGGGTACATACAAAATTTCAGTTTTGCACTCTGTGGTTTTTATGAGCGTTTTTTACCACTACTTCGCCCCCTGTTGATGGATCTTCACCAGATTTGGCTTGAAGATTTGTTGGGTCCATGCAAACATACATGCATACTTGCGGTTTCAAATTTTGCATTTTTTGCAATTACATATAAGGGAAGTATCTTTTCATGTCCTAAGATAACCTTTCATTAATCATTGGGCCCGGCATGGCCAGGTGGATAGGGCGCTCGACTAGCAATCTGAGGGTCGCGGGTTCGAATCCCCGTCCCGCCAAACATGCTCGCCCTTTCGGCCGTGGAGGCGTTAGACTAGTATTTAAACTATAACCGTGAGCTACACTACAGTGAACTATTGAATTTTTGTAATTTGCAAACGAGAACTAAGTCTACAGTACTAG